ACTTTATCCAAGCTGAAGGTGTCCCTCAGGGATGTGTTCTGAGCACAACACTTTTTCTCCTTGCTATAAATGATTTGGCCTCTAGTCTTCCATCCAGTATTTGGTCATCACTATGTTAATGACTTCACTATTGCCTGTGCAGGCACTGTCACCTCATTACAGTTTCTCTCCAGCATGCAGTCGATCGTGTTTCCAATTGGGCCACCACACATGGGTTTAAATTTTCCAGTACCAAAACTCACCAAATTACTTTCACTTGACGCTCTGTCATCTCCGATCATCCTTTGTACCTCTATGGCTCCTGAGCCCTTGTGGCTTAGCGCTTCTTTTTGATTATAATAATAATAATAATATGGCTCCTGTATCCCTGAACGTGATACAGTCAGGTTTCTAGGCCTCCTCTATGTAGGTTATCCTGGAAACCTCACATTACCTCTCTAAAGGCAACTTGTTACAGCCGGCTGAACCTTCTTAAAACCCTTGCTCATCTTTCATGGGGAGCTGATCGTCGAAATCTCCTTCGCCTACATTCCACCCTCATTTTATCGAAACTCAATTATGGTGACCAGATCGATTCAGCGTTCTCTCCTGCTATTCTCTCTAGCCTTAACCCCATTCATCACCAAGGATTACATTTATGCCTTGGTGCTTTTCGCTCATCCCCTGTTGAGAGCCTCTATGCAGAAGCAAACGTTCCATCCTTATCCGATCGCCGTGATGCCCATTGCCTTCGCTACTATGTATGCTCTCATGATCTCTGCAATCCTTCCATTTATAGAATGGTCACCAATATTAGTAGACATTCTTTATTTGTTTGCCACCCTTGTTTGCTCCATCCCTTCTCTCTTTGCCTACATTCGCTATTGTCTTCTCTTCAATTACCACCTTTCTATGTTCATGTAGCATCTCACTTTTCCCTACCCCTCTGGGAAGTTCCAGCTGTTCGAGTCTGTTCTTTCTCACTCCCTTGTTCGAAAGCCCAACTGTCTGCGGTAGCCATTGCAGTGTACACAGATGGCTCTAAGTCTTCTGATGGCGTAGGATTCGCAGCAGTGTTTCCGGACAGCATCGTACAAGGGCATTTACTATCTTTGGCTAGTATTTTTACTGCTCAATTGTATGCCATTCTTGCAGCACTTATCCGTATTGCATCTATGCCTGTGTCATCATTTGTGGTTGTCTCAGACTCCCTTAGTGCTTTACAGGCTATACAGAAATTTGACACACCTCACCCCTTAGTCCTCCATATCCAACTTTGGCTACGCCGCATCTCTACCAAGCATAAAAATATTGTTTTTTGTTGGGTCCCTGGTCATGTTGACATACAGGGCAATGAACTTGCAGACACTGCTGCATGGTCAGCAGTACATGACCTACCAGTTTCATATAGAGGTGTTCCATTTACGGACTATTTTGCTGTAATAGTTACCTACCTTCACACCCGTTGGCAACAACGTTGGTCAACTCTGCTCGGTAACAAACTTCAATCTATTAAACCGAGTATAGGTTACTTGCCGTCTTCTTGTTACCAGTGTCAAGGTTGGGTGACTACTCTCTCCCGTCTTCGCATTGGCCATACTCGTCTTACTCATGGATATCTCATGGAGAGGCGCCCTGCTCCTCTCTGTGAGAATTGTCAGGTTCCATTATCGGTCAGCCACATTCTGTTAGACTGCCCACTTTATCAATGAGCACGCAGAATTTACCTCCAATGTCGTCTTCACTCTGCTGCTCTCTCTTTACCTTCCCTTCTCGCTGATGGACCCACCTTTCATCGGGATTCTCTCATTGACTTTTTGACAACAACTGACTTACTTCACAAACTCTGATGATACCTTCAGCCCTTTCTACCTCAATCTCTTGCTACCCTCTACCCCCGCACTATCCCCTGCCCTGCTGTTTTCTGTAACCTACTGATCATCCCTCCCCCCTTCTGCCGCCCAATACCCTCGCTTCCTTCCCTACCCTGCAGCGCTGTATAGCCCTTGTGGCTTAGCACTTCTTTTTGATTATAATAATAATAATTTAAGTCTTCTGATGGTATTGGGAATGCAGCAAGTTTTCCAGACATCAAGGTCATTTACTAGACTTGGCCAGTACGGTAAAATTCTTATAAACTGATCCTTCCATAAATCAGATGTTGGATGAAATGGACAGAAAATGTGGCCAGGTAAAGGCTCAACATGTATGTTTAATGGGATGTCCAATTAAAAGAGCCATGAAGTGGACCAAACCTACGGTAATGAATGGCTGTCTAGTCCAATCATATGTTCAATAAAATGGATTGATAGAAAATTAATTATAAAGTTTACTGGTCATTGCCAATCATCACCATTTATAAATGATCTCTCCATACATGCTTAACCCATTCACTGTCTTGTCCTTAACCCTTAAACTGTCCAAATGTAGATCTATGTTCACTCACGTACCGCTCCAAATGTAGATCTATGTTCACTCACGTACCGCTCCAAATGTAGATCTATGTTCACTCACGTACCGCTCCAAATGTAGATCTATGTTCACTCACATACCGCTCCAAATGTAGATCTATGTTTGATTTTACATGCTTTCTTATGTAAAAAAACATAGATCTACGTTTGGAGCGCTATGGGAGTGAACGTAGATCTATGTTCGGACAGTTTAAGGGTTAAATCTACATTGATGCCAGTGTCACAAAGAACTTTGTGTTCAAATAAGCTGTGAGCAGCAGATTTTGCCCTAGACAAGAGAGAATGACTGTGTAGTGACTGCACATAATATAAAAAAATCCTGTCCCATGTGGTGCATGTTGGGAAAAGGAAAACTCTTACCTTGAACTTGGTTTAAAACAGTGACTTTAAAGCATTTTCTACAATGATTTTTATGGTTTCATTGCCTGTAGCTTGGTATCAGTTGGTAGAACAGAACACACAATACAGGTAGGCCATCACTAATCCGGCAATCAGTTATCCGGTTCCATCAGTAATCCGGCACTAATTTCAGCTAGCATAATTTCAAATTTCATCACTACAGTGGACCCCCGCATAACGATGGCATCGCATAGCGATTTTTCCGCATAACGATTACTTTTATCACAAAATTTTTGCCCCGCATACCGATTAAAAACCCGCATACCGATTTTCGTCCGAGACGCGTCCAATGTGCCCTCAGCCAGCCTCACATGTGCCGCTCCGTCCCATTGTTTACCAGCCAGCCTCCGCGGTAACATCCAAGCATACACTCGGAATATTTCGTATTATTACAGTATTTTCGGTGTTTGTTTCTGGAAAATAAGTGACCATGGGCCCCAAGAAAGCTTCTAGTGCCAACCCTGTGGTAAAAAGGGGTGAGAATTAGTATGGAAATTAAGAAAGATTTTGAAGGGTTTGGGGCTAACCCTGAGAAGCCTATGCCAGTTGTGGAATTCCATTGTGCCTACTTCAAAGATTAAGGAAATGTGTGCACAGTGGGTTGAACTGCAAAACCTTTATAGATGAAAATCACCCTGACACAGCTGTTGCAAGCCGTGCTGTTGACTATTTCAATTGACAATGTTGTGGCCCATTTTAGACAAATCGTAAAGGAACGGGAGGTACAGAGCTCTATGGACAGATTTGTTGTGCGACAGAGGTCCAGTGACTCTCAAGCTGGTCCTAGTGGCATTAAAAGAAGAAGGGAAGTAACCCCGGAAAAGGACTTGCTACCTCAAGTCGTAATGGAAGGGGATTCCCCTTCTAAACAGTAAGAAGATAATGCTCTCCCCTCCTCCCATCCCATCAATCATCACCAGATCTTCAATAAAAGTAAGTGTCATTTAATTGTGCATGCCTTTTTCAGTTTGTGTGTATTAAAATTAACATTTCATGTGGTAAAAAAAATTTTTTTTCATACTTTTGGGCGTCTTGCACGGATTAATTTGATTTCCATTATTTCTTATGGGGAAAATTCATTCGCATAACGATTATTTCGCATAACGATGAGCCCTCTTGCACGGATTAAAATCGTTAACCGGGGGTCCACTGTATACTGACTCAAATCATTATACTGACTCAAATTTCATCATTATACCGACTCAGAAATTGTGCAGATGGTTGTAAATCCAGAGCAGCAAGCCAGTGGAGGAGAAAACAGTGATGAAAATGAGGAAGATGTAGCAGAAAGTCTCTATTGATAGGTTAATTAAGTGTATTCTAACCTAACCACTCTGTAATCTGGCAAACTCACTAATCCGGCACACTACAGGTCTCAATGATGCCAGATTAGTGATGGCCGACCTGTACTGAAATAGATATGATTTTGGTTGATTTCATGACTGGAAGTAGCTTGAAATCAGGCTCAAAATAGCAGAAATATTTGATTCTTGTCAATTTCCTGAGGATGGGTAAGGCCGCCTACACCGCCTGTCTGGTTTATGGGTTTTCACTAGATCTTATTATATTATTGTCATGTCATAAACCGTTAACAATCATTCCTGGCTATATTTTATTATCAGAGAAATAGGGTAAAACTTCAGTTGTTTCATGAAGATGTGATTAATGAATAGAGAAAATGTTACTTTAGTGCCTAGAATGTCTACAGTGTTTATTTTGATCTGGTTTTTAAACGGGATTTCTTTTTTGTATTAAATTGTGGTCAGTTGATGGAACTGAAGGAATTCTGTCCAAATAGCAAAGAATTTGGTCAGTTTGGCTAGTAGAATTGGCTCAAAATAGGACTCAAAGTGGGTAATATTGCTCCCAGGTAAAATCACTAATGCATAAATTGCACCCAATGTAATTCTGTAAGGGTTCCATCAAATTTCATATTTTTGGTGTCATTACTTTCACAAAATGCTTCTCTACCATTTCAATTTTTTTTTTTTTAAGATTGCTAACACTGTGAGACCCACAATTTTGTGGTTTCAACAGTGTAAGGATTAGAAAGAACATACACTAAATATTTGTGCATTTGGCTGATAAATGTCACCATACAAAAAAAATTAATTCTTCAGTTCCTGGCTAACTTATTTTCTTCTGTTGCAGGTCATCATCTCAGCAGAAGAATTATGCTTACATTGACAGCACTTAGTATAATGAAAGTTATGTAAGTGGCAGAAATACTTCAGAAATAGTGTAAGCAATGTTGACCACATTGTCATCAATACATTGTAAATATCTGCACTTGTATCATGCAACCACATCATTATTCTGACATTTACATCCACACTCAGTGTCTGCTGGATATAAGTGTCTGCTGGATATAAGTTCAATTACAGAAATAATGCTGTTCTTATATTAATGTAGTATTGTACGTGCACCGTCAACATCTATCACACACTAAAATTTATTACCATTATAAAGCTTCATAGCTTTTTATATAAATATTTTATTAGTTGCTTTATTGTGAGACCGAAGTATTGAGTCTTTATAAAGTGTTAATTTATTCTCTACAAATATTTAACAATATAACTTTCAAAAATCTGTTAACTTTGTAACCACTACAGTAGTTATTAACATATTCAGTTTCCTGTGTTATTTTATGTAGCTAATGTTGCTGAATTTAATACTCACAACTACATAGGAATTTTATTTCTTGGCTCTGGCTATGATTTTATAATACATCTGTATTACTTTATTACCATTATTGACTGTGACCAAGATATTACATCATCTGTATTATTTTATTGCCATTGCTGACTGTAATACATCTGTATTACTGTCTATTTCAGGTATTTAATCTTCACACAGTCCCTCCATTTTACTGTAGTCTGATAGATACCTTCATGAACTTATTAAAGACTAGAAAAGTGTTTTTTTTTTATTCTGAATATATTTCAGTATAGTCTTTTACTGTCATTTTATTAATATGTTTGCCTGTCTCTTATGTATTTTATTTTTAAATGTGTACACTCATGTTGATGTTGTGTGTTGTTGTTAATCATAATTGAAACTATTATTTGAGCCAATATTCTGTTGATTATTTGGTGTTTATACTAGAAAGTTGAAAAATCACAAATCTAATTTAGAAATAATTTCATTGAATTATTTATAGACATGTGCCACTACATTATCCTTGACCAGATGTGATTTGAACTTGCATCAAGTGTATGCACACAAGTAGTTTTTATGCTCTCACGCTCAATATATGTTAGGAAATAATTTTAAAGATTAGATAAACTACCTTATTATATGGCAAACAAGACACTCCATTGTTAAGGATGCCCCATCCCCAATTTTGACTGGATAAATTTTGGAAAAAAGGTCAGAGTATCCATGGTAAAAATGCACTAAATTTTCGTAAAACAGCGCCAGTATACAGATGACTATTGTAGATCTGCTGAATCCCAATCCTGAGCTTATAAGGTTCTTTCATCCAGAACTGTCAGCAAAATGTTCTTTGAAGAGTTAACTTAAATGATCATCAACTCATATTCAGCAGTGAACAAAGCTGTATTTCCCTCTGTTCTTACAGCACTGCTTAGTGTTTCAAATTAATAAGTTTTTTTAGTTACAGGTACACATAAATACATTTACACAAATTATCATACATAGTAACATGTGTAAGTTACATAGATAACCCCAAAAAGCTAAACAAGTGGCTTATTTTATTTGGGGTCCTTAATTTCCATTGGGGTCCTTGATTTTCATTGGTGCCCATGATTTCCATGGAGTCCATGATATCCATTGAGTATTTTTCTTATCTATTGTTTGTCTTTGTATCCTGAATGGCTGTTTAGTTTTCTTGTGCTTGGCAGTATTTTTGTGTTTTGAACTGTCACTCAGCTTAGCTGCATTTGAACATTTGAACATTTGAATATTTTCAAGACACTACCACTCCTATGAGCTGTGTTTAATACATGATTTGGACCTGACTGGATGTGTTCTCTTTCTACTCACTGAGTCAGTGTCTCGATACATGCAAGTAGATGTATCAGTGGCTGGGACTTCTTATTGATTTGTGATGGTTTTTTCCTGTTTTTTAAAAATAGTTCATGTTTATGTCTTTATGTTTATTCATTTTACTATTTAAGTGTGCATTTATTCTGCAACATGACCAAAACAAACCTACAGTGTGCAATTGGGGGCTTTTGTGTATACTACTGTATGAAGCCCTTTTAACATACCACAATTTTATTCTTGCTTTTTATGTTTGGTAATGTTCCCTCAGTATCAGGATCGTTTGAGGTGAGTAAAAATATTACCAGTTGGTTTGATGGTAAACAGGCACATTAGCCTACTGATACTACCATAGTCCAACTGACTTCATCACCTGGTATAACTTAGCCTACCACTGCTAAGCACCATCAGATTTTTATGATTAATGATTATTTTCATTATTCTATACAAAATAGTTTACTTGATTCATAATTGGATCATAAACAGGAGCTTAGATTACTGTCTAGTATCAAAATACATCTCTAGGCATAGGTTGAGGCCTATGACCAACTTAACCTTTGGCCTCCAAGATGCTGGGTAATTTTTCTAGACTTTTTCCGGGAAAAAATAGTATCTTCGATGCCGTAAAATACAGTATATATATATACATATTTAATTTGCTTTGATTTTATTTTTACTCATAGAAAACGTGTTCCTAAATGTAAAATAGAAACAATAATGAGATAAGTTGTCAATGTGTCTCCATGATCTTTCTCACAAATATTCTTTAGTTTAAAATTTCAAAATACACATCATACAGTTTTATGTCATTATTGGCAGTGTCACACAGATCTACACTTTAAGGAAAGTGCCTTTACATAGGCTATATAGGCTGTTCGTGGTAAATTTTAGCCTAAACCGGAATATCTGTACAGTGAGTTTGTGCAATAAAAAAAAAAACTTGTCCTATGCAGTGTATGATGGAGGAAAGTAAACCTCTGACTCTGTTTGGTTTATAAGAGCAACTTTGTTGTGAATTTCTAGGGTTGTTTTAATGGTTTTATTGGTTGTTTCTTGTGTTAATCAATAGACTGGAAGACTTACTAGTGAAACAGATGATTTTGGTTGGTTTGAAATAGGGCTCAAAGTGGCAAAAATATTTTATTTTTGGCAATTTTCTTAAGGAACATTAAAACCCTCTCTAGCTTCTCCCATCCCAGCCCCCCCTGTCTGTTTTATAGATTTTCACAAGGTCTCCTTCAGTTATTGAGATGGCCTAAAGTGTATCTAGTCATTTCTGGTTATATTTTCCAATGAAAAAAATAAGATGGAATATAGGAGAAGGGTAGAGACATAATTAATGAACTGAGGCAAGGATTATTTAGTGGCTGGAATTCTTAAAGTAATCTTCTCCATCATCACTACCTGTTTTCTTCTTTTATTATTGTTCATTAACCATCATCAATAGTCTGTACTCAAATATTATCACAGTACTCTATTATTGTTTATTCTCATCATTATTTCTCTCTCCTCATCCTCCAGTAAAACTCTTCTACCTAGCATTATCACTGCATTACCCTCAGTATTCTTATATATGTATATGTTGTAGAGGCAGTCTTTATTGACCTGGAGAAGGTCTATGATACATACTTTGCTGTGTTAGGACTGCAGGGTTGTCACTTCTGGTTTCTCCCACAATTTCTGTCTAACAGATTGAGCTGCTTGTGAAAGCTACCAGGAGTATATTTTGGATTGTTTTTAAATTATAATTTGTTGAATGTGTAAAATTAGTCCTCTGCTCAATCAATAGAATAAAAGGTATTCTACTGGCTAGGAACTGGGTCAGATTAAGCAGTGAGAGGCTAAAATAGGGTGTAAAATAGGCAAAGTTGCTGATGAATAAATTGTCCCTTAAAAATTCCCTAAGTTTTCATCAAATTTTGAATTTGTGGTGTCATAACCATCGGAAAAAGATACCTTACAATTTGAAAAATTTATTCTGTCAGTACTTCTAATTTTGAGGGTCACAACAGTGAAGGAGTTGAGTGCCTAAAAGACTTTTCCAACAAAAAATAAGATGCAGTACACGAGTGTTCCTTCAAGGAAACAAACACATCAGTGTTCAGAATGTCTAAAAGACTTTAAATGGAGATCACATCTAATACAGCACATGAGAGTTCACACAAAAGAAAAACCATATCAGTGTTCAGAATGTCTAAAAGACTTTTCACAGAGATCAACCTTAATACAACACATGAGAGTTCATACACAAGAAAAACCACATCAGTGTTCAGAATGTCTAAAAGACTTTTCATATAGATCAGCCTTAATACAGCACATGAGAGTTCATACAAAAGAAAAGCCATATCAATGTTCAGAATGTCTGAAAGACTTTTCAGTGAGATCAAATCTAATAACACACATGAGAGTTCATACACAAGAGAAACCATATCAGTGTTCAGAATGTCTAAAAGGCTTTTCACGGAGATCACATTTAATAATACACATGAGAGTTCATTCACAAGAAAAACCATATAAATGTTCAGAGTGTTTAAAAAACTTTACACAGAGATCAACCCTAATACAACACATGAGAGTTCATACAAAAGAAAATCCATATCAGTGTTCAGAATGTCTAAAGGACTTTAAACAAAGATCAACCTTCGTACGACATATGAGAGTTCATAAACAAGAAAATGCATATCAGTGTTCAGAATGTCTAAAAGACTTTTCACAGAGATCAACCTTAACACAACACATGATAGATCATGCACAAAATAAGCCGCATCAGTGTTCTGAGTGTCTAAAACACTTTTCACTGAAATCAACTCTAACACAACACATGAGAGTTCATGCACAGGAACACCATATCAGTGTTCAGAATGACAAACAAGAGAATTCCTAATAAGGAGGGTTACCTTTATGCTGGTAATGAGCTCTTAATCCAAGGAATTAGAGTTCCCCCTCACCTTCCTTGGATTAAGTGTTGTTATCGTCTATCCCTCGCATATTCTAGGTGCACATGACTAATACTGTTTTAACACTTGCTGTTGAATAATAATAATTATGAGGGAAACTAATATATTTTTTATTTTTACTTTCATTATTATTGTATTTTTTGGATCAAAGTACAATAACTCACATTTTCTAGGCACTGTTTGACCCTTACAGGTTTAGCATGTCATCAAAAATGAAATAATTATTTTGGCTTCTTGGTTTAATGTTATCGCTTTCACCTGGAAGGTAATATATTCTCCACAGACCATTTTATGAATCTTTACAGGAACTTAAAATGTTATTGTCAGTGTCTTTGTATGTTAAGGTGACATGTTCCACCCATTCATGTTATTAAATGATTTTGCCTCATCTGACATGCTTACGTTTCTTGTATGTACTTAATTTCGCCTCATCTGACATGCTTACATTTCTCGTATGTACTTAATTTAATATAGAAGTCTTATAAATTATTGTGTAAATTTTAGTGTTTCATTTCCTTCTTAATTGACCTCTATAGCATATTTTTATCATTATTTTTTTTTTATTAAGACATCTGCCATTTCCCAATGCAGCAGGGTGGCCTGAAAAACAAGAAACACTTAAATCATTACTCACTCCATCACAGTCTTGCCAGAGGCATGCTGACACTACAGTTCAAAAGCTAACTGGTTTTCCTGAATCCCTTCATAAATGTTACCTTTCTCACACTCCAACAGCATGTCAGGTGCCTCATATGCAAAACTTGTTTTACCCCTTTTAACTTTTCCTCCACTACAGATTAATACATACTCCAACCAGAGACCAAACAAAACGTTACTCGTCAATCCTAACCAGCCTGATAAGAAGGGCAAAAAAATTGTATTATGAGAACAGATTATCCAACTTACGAGGTGATATAAAAAAGACCTGGAAAACCCTATCAGAAATTCTGGGAACAAAAAAGATATCACGAAATAGCGAAATAAAATTAGCAAAATCAGATGAACCCCAACTCCCACCAACAGAAACAGCAAACAGACTCAATGATTTCTTCTCCACTATAGGACAAAACCTTGCCAATAAAATCCCAAGCTCAGATACCCCACCAAATGACTACCTCACCGGCAACTACCCGAACACACTGTTCCTAGCTCCGACTAACCCATACGAAGTCTCCCTTATTATCAACGCACTAAAAAACAAGGCAGGAGATTTAAATACCTTACCACCCTTTATATACAAAAAAGTGTCACAAGTGCTATCACCAATCATTGCAACACTCTTTAACAAATCCATTGAATCCTCCACCTTCCCTACAGTACTCAAAATAGCAAGGGTCACCCCGATCCACAAAGGAGGAGACCAAACAGAGTTGAATAACTATAGGCCAATATCCAACTTACACCCTCTCTCAAAAATCTTCGAAAAATTAATTCATAAACGAATCTACTCCTACCTTATCTCCCAAAACATACTCAACCCCTGCCAATTTGGATTCAGGCCTAATAAAAATACTAATGATGCAATTATACACATGCTAGAACATATATACACTGCAATAGAGAAAAAAGAAGTCCCACTGGGGATCTTCATTGACTTACGTAAAGCTTTTGATACAGTTGACCATGACTTGCTCCACGTAAAATTGTCACACTATGGTATAAGAGGGCACTCCCTCAACTACCTCAAGTCATACCTCAGCAACAAAAGCCAATATGTGTACGCAAATGGGGCAAACTCTTCTGCACAACCAATTACAGTTGGTGTCCCACAGGGAAGTGTCCTTGGCCCTCTTCTCTTCTTCCTATACATAAATGACCTACCAAATGCTTCTCAATTACTCAAACCCACACTATTTGCTGATGACACAACATACGTCTTCTCCCACCCGAGCCCAGTCACGCTAGCCAATACTGTAAATACCGAATTACAGAAAATATCTACCTGGATGAGTACTAACAAACTTACACTAAACATTGACAAAACCTACTTCATTCAGTTTGGTAACAGAGCTACAGATGTCCCTCTTAACATAATGATAAACGGATCACCTATCACAAAGCTAACAGAGGGAAAATTCTTAGGAATCCACCTTGATAATAGACTCAAATTTCATACACATATACAACAAATTTCTAAGAAAATTTCCAAGACTGTAGGCATACTATCGAAGATACGGTACTATGCTCCACAGTCAGCCCTCCTGGCCCTATATCACTCTCTTATTTACCCCTATCTCACCTATGGAATTTGTGCATGGGGCTCAACAACAAGTAACCATCTCAGACCACTAATTACCCAACAAAAGGCTGCAGTTAGAATGATAACAAATTCTCACTACAGGCAGCACACTCCACCAATATTCAATACACTCAACCTACTCACCATACAAAACATCCATACTTATTACTGCACCTATTACATACATAGAACACTCAACTCTGATATTAACCCTCCCCTCAAACATCTCCTTGCCAACCTCAACAGAACACGCTATGCAAAAACTCAATGCACATAAAAGGCCCTAAAATCTGGAATTCATTACCTGTAAATATAAAAGAAACACTACCTGTTTATAAATTCAAGTCTCTTCTCAAAGATCACTTACTCACCCAAAACCAAATAAATACTGAATAACTGAACCTTATAAATTAGTATATCTTAAATGTTTCTCACAATTATATCACATAAATGTTAAACCTAAAACCCAATCTAACTTTATTATTTTTTAAATACACTACCTAACAGAATACTCCATTCTACTGAATTTACAACAATGCATGCAACCATATGACCTGTCTTTGTAATACTCACTTGTGCTTTATGGTAATCAGTTTACATTAATGTTTTTCACTGATTTCATCATTGCTTAGTTAATCTTAAGTTAATTTTAAGCCAGCCCGTAATGCTATGCATAGTATAAGTGGCTTTGGCATGCTGCTCTTATCTGTATTTTTTTGTACCTCTGTAAGTGTGCTCAAATTATAAATAAATAAATAAATAAAAAAAAAGTCACCCTATTTTGTTCCAACTCTAAATGTCTAAACCACTTCAAGATCCTCTCTTCAGCCCTCTGGATAATACTTTTAGTAATCCTGCAAATCTTTCTAATCTCCAAGCTACAAAGTCTCTGCATAATATTCATACCACACACAGCCTTCAGACACAGCATCTCCACTACCTCCATTCTCCTGTCTGCTGTAACATTTAAGACTCATGCTTTACACCCACATAAGAGCATTTGTACCACTATAATCTCATTCCCATTTTTGCCTCCATGGATAAATTTCTTTGTCTTCGCCACTCACCTTTTTGCCTTTGCCAATTCTATGGTTCACCTCATGTTTCATAGACCCATTTGCTGACAAGTCCACTCCTATGTATCTGAGCACATTCACTTCTGCCATACTTCCTCCCAACAACTTATCATCCAATCCTTCATTACATAAATTTTTTTATTACCCTCATTACCTTGCATCTTTTCCTAGTCCTACACACCTTGAGTATGCTCCACTTTCTTGGTTTGCCTGCCCCCCCTCTCATCTGCGACTGATTGACAGAGTAGAGAACAGAGCAAGACGTCTCATCTCTCGCCTGGACCCATCCTGGCTAGACCTGTCATTTCAGCAGAGCCTTCAACACAGGAGGGATGTGGGTGGCCTTATTATGTACAAGGCCAATACGTACTGTATTGTCAAAGTACCACACTTAGATCCACTTCGAGGACAACGTGAAACAAGCTTTTATGCCACAAGACGGGCAGAAAGCAGCAACTTCACTCTGGCTGTACCCTTCTCCAGAACATCACAACATCTGAGATCATATATACCCAGGATGACTCGAGTATGGAACACTTTCATACAGCATAATGATGTCAACGAGATAGTCAGTTGATCAAATGAAAATGCTGGCCCACAGATGGCTCCAACTTCATCCTGTTCCATACTTGTATGTCTCATAACAATAAAAATGCTTTCAAATGAGCTGATGTAGGTAACAGCTCTTAGCTTGCCAATAAAGTTAGGAATCCTTAACCTGTAAATAGCTGCCAATAAAGCTAGGGATCCTTAACCTAACCTTGTCAAACCCTGTGGAAAATAATTTCCCAGTATTATGCTGTGTAAATAAACCTGATTAAAAGTGTTTTATCGAATGTATGTTATCGAAAAGGGGAAGAAGCTGCGCCTGCACAGAAGACACTCGCCATTGTTGTTTGAATGGAGTAACAGATATTAGTTAATAATGTGAAGAATTTTCATGCTCTAGAGATAAAATTGGGTTGACACCTCTCAAATAGGAGGCGAAATTGTTGGATGTGCATTCCTGCATAATTTGAGTATCAGGCGACAGGACAGGACAATTCCAGGAACCTCAGATAAGCTGTCTAATTTATGTTTAAATTCTGGCCAGTAAATTTTTCATAAATGTAGGCAAAAGGGGGGGGGGGGTCCTGTACATGACACATTAATCTCCAGTCAAATTGGTGAGTGATATTAATATATTTTCCTTCTGTTATGTAAATGCATGTATATACAGTGGACCCCCGCATAACGATCACCTCCGAATGCGACCAATTATGTAAGTGTATTTATGTAAGTGCGTTTGTACATGTATGTTTGGGGGTCTGAAATGGACTAATCTACTTCACAATATTCCTTATGGGGACAAATTCGGTCAGCACTGGCACCTGAACATACTTCTGGAGTGAAAAAATATCGTTAACCGGGGGTCCACTGTATAATCCTTTTTTAATTTTAATATACAGTCCACAAATTTATATATATATACCAGTATTCCTGGTGATACATATTTCATTTGTAAGTAATAGGTCCAGAGCAACTTGTGGATATGACAGTGGTAGGTATCGAAGGGGGACATTTTTTGCGACCTAGGTGTCCCAAATTCCTACTTGTCTAACTGATAAATAATAATTATCTTTGTTCATTTACTTGTTATGTACATAATGATACATTCAGATAAATGTAATTTTCCACAAACCCTGTGAAAACAAAAAAAAATATTCACCAATCTTTGCAACTTCCCATGAGAATTTTCCAAAAGCACCACATCTGCAAGAAGCAACTGTGACAATTCCCATTTCTTTTACAACCTCATCTATAAATGTATTAAACAAGCATGGTGACATCACGGATCCCTTTCTTAGGCTTGCTTTCACTGTGAAATAATCTCCCTCTTTCCTACATAGTCTAACCTGAGCCTCACTATCCTCATAAAATTTTTTAACTGCTATCAGCATCCTCCCCTCTCTTTCCTTTCCTACTTTTGATCATTGGGATCCTTCCCTATGAAATTCTAGCTCCTAGGTTGGTGAAAAGGTATCAATGTCTACCCCATCTATCCCATTCCACTGAGGTTCTTGTTAGTGGTGATGCTTGCCATGGAATCTGGAAAATCTGGTTATGTACCAAGATCCATCTGGATTCCCATATGGTAGCTTTATCCTTTCGTGGTTGGTCCAATAATATTATGG